CACCGTGAGTGGAAACTTACAGATTAAGGGGTGGTAATATTATAATGAGATCCCTTTGCAACGTCACCAAGGGAGCAAAATCAGATGCACTCGTTTTTTCAGACACTTGCAGAAAAAGGCTTACCAAAACAAAGTTACTGGGTTAACCTTTTTCACGTTTCCTTGGTTGGTAGATGCACCGGGGACCTGATTATAGCACTTAAAACCTGGAAAAGTCCGATTTTCATGATATGCCACCTTTAAAACTTTTATTTCTTCTGTTGATGTATTGTAGAGTAAAGAGAGCACCTGACTTCTGGATGTTGAGTTGCAGTGTTGTAGGGTGTTGTGTGATTCCCAGTTTTGTAATATTGTTTTGTTTTGTAATATTGATCAGCTCACTGTTAAACTACTTTTTGCATGGCTGCTTATGAAATAATTATATACTTGGACAAGAAATATAGATTTAGATATTGAGGTTTAAATTATTTAAAGGCTAAGAAAAAAGAGAGCATGGAGTGGTCACTAGAGGCCATTATATTTGACCTCAGAATCCAGCAACTGACCAATCAGAATCAAGTGTTTCAGAGAGCCGCGTAACAATGTGTTATATCTTTAATATTTTGTTGGATATATTTTATGAATACTCTCCTATTTACTCTACCATAGCACCAGATGCCCCATACACACACTGGAAGCAGACAGTGTTTTATCTGGAGGAATATTTAACTGTGAAAAGAGGAGAGGAGATAGTCGGCACCGTCAGCATGAAGCCAAACGAGAAGAACGCAGTAAGAAGAACCCACCTAATTAATAATAATAAAAAAAAAGTTAAATATGCTTTCAAGACCCATTTTATTTGATCATTTTAGAAACAGTCAGTTGGTTAATATAAGTATAGCCAAAAATATGCTTTCCATATTTAAAAAAAATATTTATACACTGCCAGTCAAAAGTTTTTGGTCAATAAGATTTTCTAATATTTTGGAAACAAGTTTCCTATGCTCACCAAGGCTGGATTTAGTTGATAAAATATATTTTGTGAAATATTATTAGCATTTAAAATAGCTGTTTTCTATTTGAATATATTTTAAAATGTAATTTATTCCTGTGATAACGAAGCTGAATTTTCAGTAACCATTACTCCAGGCTTCAGTGTCACAGGATCCTCCAGAAATCATTGCAGTATGCTGATTTGGTGCTCAAGAAATATTTTTATTATTATCAATGTTGAAAATATTTGTGCTGCTTAATATTTTTGTGGAAACCGGTGATTTTTTTCTGAAATAGAATTTCGCTGTAATGTTATAAATCTCTCGTTGAATACAATTATTACCTTCTTTAAAAAAAAAAAAATAATAATAATAATAATTCCCCCAAACTTTTGAATGGTGTACTGTATAATTCAATGCAACTTTCTTATAAAAAATTTTTTCTTACAAATATAACACAATTTAACATTTCCGCTTCTTGTTTATCTACCCAGCGTGATCTGGACTTTACCTTTGAGCTGGATTTTAAAGGTCAGCTATGTGAGGCCGCTATCGCTCATGACTACAAGATGCGGTAAGTACCCAGCAGTGGCGAGAGACGGTTTCTGACAGCACTCAGAGAAGCAGAGGCAGGGGCCGCTCCGGATCACAGCTACGGCCCTGCTGCTGGGAAGAGACAGAGACAGAGACGGAGAGAAAGACCAGGACAGAAGTTGCTATCTCTGGGAGTCTTGCCAACGTTTTTCAAGCAGGGTGGCACTTCTAGCAATAGCAGCCTTGCCTTCGCCAACTCTAGCCTGCACTTGTACACCAACTCTCTGACTGTTCAGGGGCCAACTATGACTACACCCCACTGTAAACAAAAGAATGTCATGCTCTTATGAATGTTAAGTGTTAGTTTATGGTTACTTTGCTTTTACATTAGGAGTGTGAGCTAAGATATTTAATATTGAAAGTTGTGCTTCCAAGTCCCAGGCATTAAGAATATTTTAATTTAACATATCGTATTAAGAGAATAACTCCACTTACATAGTAATAATTCATTTGAATTTAATCACTGCTGGACTTTAACAATTTCAATGCAAAAGAGTAAGTGATCTCACAGATTTAAATCATGTTTTCAAGAAATCCAGGTCATTCTCAGAAAATGGTACAGTTATTTGTTTTCAAAATAATTTATAATATATAATTTTGTTTTATTAAAAAGGTTACTGCATAATCCACTGCTTACTTAAATATCATTGGCCAATGCTGAGAACAGTATGTATGTATATATATTGTATATATATATATTTTACTGTAAAGCATAATATTATTTATTTATTGCACCTACAAGGTTGGCAAATACAACTGATGAGCTTTACAAAGCTAATATACATGAATACATAAATATTGATAAAGTCTGTTTTCACCACAATGCTTTACCAAAAAGATGTTTAAATGTCATGTCATAATGTGCATTGTTTTCAATGTAGCAATTATACATAGACCATAAAATAATATTTTAATTTCTATAAAAGCTAAATTAGCTATTTTTATTTTATATTATATTATATTGTGATGAATGGGGACATCCAAATTGGAATCAAATTGCAGGGAAATTGCATATTGCTATAAAAACAAAACATTTAAAAATAGAATTTATGTTTTATTTTAAAAGGTCTGAATTTTACACCAAAGTTAATTTTATAATTTAAAATCATTAGGTTCTGCATCCTATTAATTATATATAGTACATCATGTGGACACCATTTCCTGAGAACGACCCAACTATCATAAAATGAAGATTTGGGGCAGCGTCTTGCCCATGAATATCAGAGGAAACTGAATCAGATGCTAATAATGGAAATTACAAAAAAAAAAAGAGTGATTGCAATACAGTGATGTGGTACAATTGTAAATTTGTTTTTCTAGTAACTTGATGAGACTGCAATATGTAGTGATAGTATTATTTATGATTCTAGATGTGTGATAATTACATTTCCACATACATCTGCTAACTGAGCACAGAGATGAAAATAGAAAAAGAGAAACAGCACAATACATATCAAAATATAGATGGCAAGAGAAATGCTGGCTCTGTCTGCGGTGAGATCTTGATGAGCTGGACTCAGATGGCACCTGCTGCTCTTCACCTGTGCTCTTATTAGAGTCTTTGCCAAGGCCATGACTGGGATCATCCCGGTCCATCTGTGACCCCCGTGTCACAGCTGATTATGCTGTTCAAGTCCTCACCAAAGACATTCAGTTCACTCGCAAAGCACATTGTTCATTATGCGTTATATTTATTGTTCATTGTTTTTACTATAGATATTGATCTGATTCATTGGTGGAATATTGTGCAATATTGGGAAATGTGAATAACGATCTTCTCTGTGCAAGGAACGTTTTCCTCTTCCAATATTGTATTTTCAACTGGTAGGGTGTTTGGTATTGAAATTTGAGGTTTACATGATAAAAATGTTTTTAAATGATTATTCCGCCATGATTTGAGCATCTATCAAGATAATAGTAAATAAAATTGATCAAAACTAATTAAAGCTAAGCAAAATGTTTATAGGTGTACAATAGCATGCCTTATTGAAAGCATATTTGGTGGTTTTTAAAGACCTGTTGCTGTTGTGATAAAAAAAACAACATGAAAGTGAAACAAAAAAGACTGAACATTTCTGAAACTTTGGTGATGTAAGTTGGTAAAGCAAATAAAAGTCATGTGTCCATTAACGTGAGGTGTAATAGGTTAAACTACCTACTTGATAGTGCTCTAAATGTAGTACCACTTGTCCTCCACAAGGGGGCTTGAAAAGATTATGAAAAATCTGACAGACTGGCTATGTTTAAAATGGAATACTGTACTGGTTACTACATTTTTCACAGTATGCTTACTGTGAATTTAAGCGTGCGATATGCAGCGCTAAAGGTTTCAAATACATTGGCACATGACCTCATCACACTGAATATTTCCTTTAATATATGACCTGACATGTGGCCAAGTATGGTGACCCATACTCGGAATTAGTGCTCTGCATTTATCCCATCCAAAGTGCACATACACAGCAGTGAACACACACACACTGTGAACACACACCTGGAGCAGGGGGCAGCCATTTATTCTGCGGCGCCCGAGGAGCAGTTGGGGGTTCGGTGCCTTGCTCAAGGGCACCTCAGTCGTGGTATTGAAGGTGGGAGAGAGCGCTGTACATTCACTCCCCCCACCTACAATCCCTGCCGGTACGAGACTCGAACCCGCAACCTTGGGTTACGAGTCCGACTCTCTAACCATTAGGCCACGACTTCCCCCGATATAGCAAGTCAAAATGTCTTTGCAATTGCATTTTAAAACACTTAAAAGAGTTTATTTAAACTGGCAAAACCTGTTGAACCTCAGGCTGAGCTTTCAGAACAAAGCCTTAAATATCTTAATATAATATATAATTCATTGTTAGCAATGCCTCCTCTTGCTATTTCCCTGAAAGCACAAACTGGAATTAATGCAAACAAAGTATTCTTTATTTTTAACATTTCACTCAAAATACATTTCTATTTAGTATTTACACATTACACATGTACATAAAGCAGGAACATATATAAGACTAAATGAGTGAGAAATTATGCTTAAATCTAGTGTTATTCTGCCCAGTGGTCATACAGTAGCTGTGATAGATAAATTATGTGTGAATCAATATGAAAACTCAAGTTACAGATCAAGAATCATATTGCGATTACTGAAAAACTTGAAACTGAAAACACAGCATAGGCCTTATCTCAAAAGTGCATAAATCCACTCTCTAGTGGACTATTACTGCATCTCTAATTATTTATGGTAAGTGTGAACATCAACAAGTGCAGTGAGACATTTGAACTGATTTAACACTGACTGCATTAAATAGCAAATACAGACTATATATAGACACACACATTACTGTTGCCACAATACATAAAATGCAAATCAAAAAGTGATCTGAAATCAATATTAGACTAAATCCATTTCAATAGATCAGTGGTTTATTCAGTACTGTAAAGCGAACAACACCGAACCCTGTTAAAACCGAATCCTTATGCAAACCATATGTTGGCTGCATGGCAGTGTATTAAAAATATTCATGCTGATTACAGAAAATAGATTTTTCACAATATGTCTGCTTGCTAGGAATAATAAAGGAATAAGTCAATTCATCATTAGTAATAAATAATACATTTGTGCAAATGATTGTGCTGTAAACAAACTAGCGTGTAGGAGCTTATTTTGCTCATTTAAAATATACTTTCTTAGACCTTCATATTAAAAAGATAAATTACAACAACTGTCAATACAAAAATACAGGTTTGTTTTCTTCAATAGTGTGATGGGTGATTTAAATGACCTTGATAGGGAAACGTTTGACAACTGTAGTAATATACAAAACTATAGTGCTCTACTTAAAGCCCTACATCTAATTGATATTGTAAAAATGGTCCGTTTCACACTGTAAAGAGGTACTGGTATATAAAAAGACCAAACGATTTGAACTCCACAGTGGCCATACAAAAAGAGAAAACGGGAACATAAGAGGAAGAAAAACAGATCAGCATTAACACCAAACCATACTAAAATGCAGAAGCAAAAAGGTTTGAAAGATCTGCAGTGTTTATGGGTGACTTTCTACTAGCAGCAGGACTTCTTCTTAGCGTGGCTGTCTACTAGTGACACGGTTTTCTCTTTTTCTCTGTCCTCTTGGTCTTTCAGAACTCTAACAGATAGTAAAAAAAGTAGCACATCTTATAAGGTGCAGTACAACCAAAATAAAAGTGTACTGGGAATAACCTGGCTGTTTATGCAGCTGCATATGTAATTGAAAGACATTAAGAATTGTTATGCCAAAAGTCTGTTCATGTACTAATGTATATTGCACTCAAAACTGGAATACGCTTGTGGAAATAATTTATATACTATTATAGTATTTATCAGTATTTTGAATGTGCTTATTATGTTTTTAGTTTTAGTCATGTTTATGCTTTCATCAATTTTAGGATTTTTTATTTTAAATACTTCTATTAATCGCTTTAATTTTTTGATTTTAGTTTTAGTCAGTTTAGTCCTTCGACTTAAATTGATTTCAGTTACTTGCCAAGGCAACATTTTTTTCATCTAATATTTCTATTTTATTTCAGCTTTATTTCAATTACCGAAAAACATTTTTTGAAGAGTTTTAGTTAATAACAATACAAGAACAGATGTGCTTACAAGGTACAAGCTACTACAATAGTGCTTAAAAAAGCACTTGCAAAGTAAGGTTGGTTGCATAAAATGTTTGAAAGATATTAAGTTTTGTTTAAGGAACAACAGCAATGGTTGGTGGGTAGTTCTTGGCCAGATTAAACTGCAAAGTGGACCAACATATATACTTATAGGCAGTGTTACCATTCTATTAACCAATGTCTTTGCTTCTGACCTTCGGTGATCCAGTTCAACCATACTAATAAGCAAAAATGACTCTAGACAAACATTTGTGTTTTTTTTTTTATTGCTGATGTGTGTTGACATTTCTTCTTCTGCATTCTACTGTACGGACGTAAATTTACTTTACCTTCAGCCTGAGGCTTATTCATTTCACTTTTGGTGTGAAAAGGCTTTTATATTTGCCAAAAATAGAACTTTTTTATTTTAAAAACAAACAAGCAAGCCCTGTCCAGATTTAAAAAGTAACGCAAAAGTAACGTAACGCATTACTTTCCATAAAAAGTAACCAAGTAACGTAATTAGTTACTTTTTTATGGAGTAACGCAATATTGTAATGCACTACTTTTAAAAGTAACTTTCCCCAACACTGCTTATAGGCAAAAATCTGGCGTGCATGTGTTCAAAGGAACTCTTCTGTATACTCATTTTAAAAAGAACTCAGAAAATAAATTGGTTAACAACCTCTTACCTTGCCATGTGAATCATGGACTCTGTCACACTGTTGCTTGAAAAAGCACTGCACTCATAGAAAATTAACTGAAAGTCCTGAAAGAGTGAAAAGAAAATGGCAAAATAAGGTACTTTTAGAATAATGAGTAAAGCTTACTGTATGTCATTCAGTGTGGTTCTTTATCTGCTGAGTTCATGCAACAGTGACGGACAGGAAGCCACATTTTGCATCTTCATTGTAACTACACATGTAAAGGGCAGAAAACTTCCTCACGTGCCCGTCACAGCCGAATACTCATTCAGCCCTGAGTCAGTTCTTTTACTTGTTTGTTTCAAGACCGCCATGCTTAAAATGTTTATTGGTGATCCATTAGTTCCACTCCAGGGCCCAGATTCACTCACCTTGGCTAATTTCTCAGCCAATCCTAATGGAACCTCTCTCTGTCCGTCTAGATCGGTCTTGTTCCAAGTATGTTTTTTTTACATATTAAAAGTTTGTTTTATAGCAAAAGTAGATAACTCCGACAGTCGTTTTTTTGGCAAAAGCAGATAACGCCACATTTCATGTTTTAAGAGTTAAAAAAAAACAATCATTTAATCTTTGTAATCTCCTCAGATGACAATGTAGATGCCTGACAAACTTCGTTGTTGTTGTGATCATAAACTGTATGGATGTGATTACACGCAATACACGGAGCTTTTCCCTCATGTAGTGCAACTATACTAAAAGTGAACTTATGGGTATACTGATAGTTTACTAATTAAATACTTGAAGCATTTTTAGTATACTCTGAAGTATAGTCTCAGTAAACTACTAGATTAGTAGTTTTAAAACTGCAAGTATAATCGTAAGTTTTCTTTAAGTGAACTTTACATCATACTTTAAGTATACTACTATGTCCGTATTTAGGTATTAATTTGTGTATGTTTTGTTATATGAATATCTGAACATACAAAACATCAAAAGAAAGAACAGGGTATCTGCTTGTAAACAAAAACATTTTATTCTAGATTCATGCATTCTTTTCTTTTTTATAAACACTTCAATGTGGGTGTTTCATATATATATATAAAAAAAGAAAAGAAATAAACAACATTTTGAACAAAAATCTGAAAAAAAGACTATGAATTTGATTCAGAATGATAATCAAAACGTAGATGGAGTCGATCAGCACCCCAAAGCTTGACAGTCATTACCTCTTCATGGATCGACATTTTATTCCATAACGTTACATAGTTTTGATGCTATTTTATGTTTGATGTTCATGTTAGATTACATGTGGAAGCATCTGTTGTTTCGGTTTCTTCTTCGCTTGTGTTTTGGAAATTCTGTCCAGAAGGTGTGTAATAGCGCCCCCTACCGTATAACAATGAAAACACGGATTCTAGGAACACAAGTATAGCTCAAATATATTTAGACTTTTTCTAAGTATAAGTCAAGTATACTTAAATGTCATTTTAAGTATATTTCTGAGAAGTACATAAAGCACATTTCTAAGAAGTACATAACAAGTAGACTGAAAGTATACTTTCCTACTTTTTAGTTTAAAAGATGTATACTAATAGCACACTTGAATAAACGTATTTTTCCTAAGTGTCCTCTCAGCTAGCACGTCTTTTCAAAGTGAAAGTAGCCTTGTCACCTGACCTGAATACAGCGCGCTGATTCGCTAAAATGGACTTATCGGCTTCTGTTCAAAAATAACAAGGGCGCTTGTCGGCTTCTGCAGTAAAACGTGAACTCGTGATGCCTTGAAAGTCGACAAAACCGGCTTTTTTGACAAAACGTGTTTAGGGTTCAGATCACGCTATATGTGGAGAATAATACACGGCAATCAGCTCGTTTTTTTTTTAAGTGGCATTTATTGGTTTTTGCAAATGAACTCTTCATATATATAAAATATATATTATATAAAAATATAGTTAAAATCAGTGCAACATGGACCTTCAAAAATCATTGAGATATGCTGATTTGGTGCTCAAGAAACATTTCTCATTATAATCAATGTTGAAAACCTGTGTGCTGTTTCATAGCTTTGTGGAAACCATTATACATTTTTTTCAGGATCTCTTGATGAATGTAATTAGTAGATATTTTGTTTGTACATTATAAATGTCTTTACACTTTTGATCAATTTAAGACATAAATATGTATAAATGTATCAAAAAATTTATACTTTTATTCAGCAAGGATGTATTAAACTGATCAAAAGTGACAAATAATAAAAGTATACAAAAAAAAGTTTGATCCCAGGAACTTCATCATCTATTGAAACAAAATGTTGAGTGGAACAAATTCCTTTTTTGTTGGCCAACAGCAAATTTACATAAAAGCCTGTTGAAAATCACACTTGTACCACTAGTAAAAATAAATAGAAAAGGAAAAAAAAAGTGTGCGTTAGCCAATTGCTACTTACTATTACTAGTTGGAAGCAGGTAGTATTTATAATTTAAGCAGAAGAGGCCTGTTTAAATCTAATTTTAAAAACTAATTTCATTAATATTTCTATCGATTTCCCAAAGGTGTATGTGTACATAAGTATAAATATTATAATTTACTCAGAAGGAAAGTGGATATGAATCACTCACCTGCACGCTGGCTAGCCACTGTCTCACTGCTGTGAAAGTCTGCTCATTAGTGATGTCATACACCACAACCACACCATCAGCCTTGCGAAAAAACTGCTTGGTGATGCTGCGATACCTGCAATGCCCAGAATGAAACCATCTTTAACATTCACTTATTTTTGCAGTTAGAAAACGCAACAAAGCAATAAATCAACACTCAGTTCTCTGATAGCATACTGATTTTGATTAATTAAGATTGTAAATAGAAATCTAATAGAAACATTAATAAAACATCACTCACCTTTCCTGTCCTGCTGTGTCCCACATTTGCAAGGCTACCTGGCTGTTGTCCACCGTCAGAGTCTTCACACTGTAGTCAATACCTGCACACGTCAAGACATGAAAGTCAGTCTGAAGGAGGAAAAAAAGTGTCTGCCATTTAATGTTTTCATGCTTTTGTTTCCATCCCAAAAGAAGCTCCACACATACAAGCCCTGACAAAAGGCCAGACAGAATTGATTTGTGGTTTTAGTCAATACCAAGTTAGTGATAAATGTTTAAAACCAGCTAAATATAGGAACCATGCAAATGGACACACATTATGTTACTTTATTTTTAACTTTTCAATTGTATGCCCAGATTCTTGCTAACAAAATGGGCCAAAAAGTACTGTGGTATTACAGGTTTTTTTTGTACCATGGTATACTTTAAGGTACCATGTACAAACTGTGGTGCATGAATATAGTAATGTTCAGTATCATAGTAGTGAAATAGTCTTGACGGAGTTAAAGAATAAAATCTGAAGTCAGCAAAACCTCAACATTGTGTGAGACTAAATATCGTTTAACAGTGTTACTATCATCAGAATGTGGATAAATAACAGACCCAACAACACAGCGTCAAATTATGATCAACCTGTGGACTCACACCCAAAGACATATCTTTGGAGCAGCATGATGGAAATTTTCATTTTGGGTGAACAAATGCCAAAATACCCCTAGACACTAGTAAATATGTAAAGGAAGGCTACTTACCTACAGTAGCACATGTACCAGAGTGGAAAAAGTTGTCACAGAAGCGACGTAGAAGAGATGTTTTTCCCACACTAGAATTCCCCACCAGAACAATCTTAAACAGACGATCTGGACCTGAACTGGCCCCTTCCTCCTGGAAAAAGACAAAAAGACACCATGATTAAGGAAAGAGGGAAAAAAAGCATTAGTCAGCAGGATACATGTGTCCCAAATGCTTATATTTTATACTAAAGTTCCAAATTATTCATTTTAGCTTCCCCAAAAGCCTTTCAGTGAACAGCTCTTAAAAGAACTATTTTTGTTATCTTACTGTGCAGAACATTTTAATAATGTAAAGAACTTGATTCCACTATAAAGAACCTTTTGCGCAATGGAAATGTTCCATGGATGTTAGAGGTTCCTCATTGATGCCAATCAAGAACCATTATTTTGAGAGTGTACTCATTTTGAAACCTCAACAAATGTCTGAGGTTCAGACCAAATCAAGCTGTTTTCTCACCGACTGGACTGTCTCTTTGCCCACAGGCTGTCCCCTGGGTGAGGTGGGTGTGGGTGCGACTCCTGGAGGAGGTGAAACAGAGGTCGGAGTGCTGGTTGTGGGGTAAATATTGCTCATCTGGAGGTCCATGCCCTCCTCCAACTCCTCATCTTCACTCCATTCTCTGAGCTGGGCCTGATAACCCTGTTGAAGGAGTTGAGGAAGATGGTCCTCCTCGATGGAGATGATCCTCTGGAGCTGGTGTTTTGAAGGAGGTCGTCCATCTAACATGTCCTCCAGGTCCATACTGTGCCCATTTACGCCGATCATGTTCTTCCGCTTAGACTGCGACAGAACCTCTTCATCCTCATCGCTGGAGAAGACAACAGCCACATGTATGCTTATTTATACACCAAAATGACATCAGCAATATGGATAACAAGATGGATATGGATATTGTGAAGACATCTTATTGATGTCTTCACAATAAGCTTTGATTAAACTCAAGTCTAAAATGACTAGCTCTTTTATCTTAGGAGAGTCAGACCTTTTAGATTTTGCAGATTCATTGTATCTTTTCATCTTGAGTACCGCTGAGAGCACAGATGGCATTTTCACACAGCCTTACCTTATAAATGACTGCTTCCGCTCAGAGTGCTTCATAGTAATTGATTCAGACCTCGGTTTCCATGAGAGTTTTGCAGCAGAAGTATTTGGTTTCTGAAAGACAGAAAACAATGACTTGAAATTGACTGAAATCGTTAAAATGCAGGATCAGTATTCAGTACAATGTCTAATACAACGTCCATAAGAACCTACTTGATAGCATATGTCTCTTTCATCTCGTAAGTGTTTGTTTATTTCTCTAGGAGGAAAGAAACAGAACACATGTGAAATCTGGGATAACACAAAGACATGCCCCTTTATTTTTTTACTGTAGTTATTTCTTACCTTAGCAAATCAAGCTGCTTGAGAAGACTTGCCCTCTCTCTCTGCAGGCTTTCTGTAATTCTATAAATCTCCCTGGAGAAAACACAAACTCTTTTAATGATAATGTGTTTGGCAGCAGGACTAACACATCAAACAAGGGACAGAATGTACTATTTAACTGAACGGCCGTTATGAAATACCAGCTTTCCAAAAAATAAAAAAATACATAAATGAATACACAAAAATTTTGAATTACATGTAATGCAAAATAAACTGTGATATATTACTAATGATGATTTCAAAAATATTGTATCAAATACAGTAATGAGAATAAGGGAGAAAATAATGACAATTACAAAAATAATGACAAATAAATGACAAAAAAAAAAGAATAAAATTAATTGTCGGTAATGATGATTTTAAAAATGATCATGAAAGTAATACACAATATAAGATAGACTTGATTCTCTTTATGCAATATATATATATATATATATGTGTGTGATTAATGCATACCAGATTCTGCATCACAATCTTGATAATGTTTTTCTCTCCAAAAGTAAGAGTAACCACTTGGGGGGGAAGCCTTGTGTGCTCATTAGTAAAAAATAATCCTGAATGGTGGGCTTCTGTCCAAGAGCAATAATATTAACAGTTACTACTGACGACAGTGATGTTACAATGGCCGTATTTGGGAGAAACTTCGGCTGATATTTTCAAGAATCTTAGTATATAGGCGTACTGCGCTTTAAGTTGGCTGAAGCAAGTGGGCAGTAAACATCCAAAAATAGAAATTGTGTTTATGTCATTATGTAAGCATGGCATCATGACCACAATAAGCTGAAGTGTCTTTTTTCCCCCTCCCACCAAAAGATTTGCTGTCATACTTGGGGAAAATGAATTATGTTGACATATGGCTGAAAACAATGGTGGAAAGGCATGCAACGTAAGGCAATGAAGAATCATGCGGTGTTGTGGAGGAGAGGATCTGGAGCTGTTCCTTTGAGCCCTCTATGACAGGTATACAGAGCCACCTGACAGCACAGTATTTCAGTGATAAATGCAGTGGGTCTGGGACTTCCATTCACTAAACTCAGGAGTGTGCTGGGCTGATACTTCAAGGTCAAGTGAATATGAAAGAGCCAAACCACACAGCTTGCTAAAAAGAGCGAGAGAGTGACTGCCTCTTATCTGCTTCTTAACTTTGACAACTTCTAAATGTTATGTTGCTTAAATTCATGTGACGTGCTTATAAACACAGATGTTGTGTTACAGTGTCGTTTTGTGATTTTTGGATGTTTGTGATTTAAAAAATTCATAATCTGTCAGCCACACATGCTATATTCAATCTAGTTAATTTACACACTGATAATAAAAATGACAACGACTATATAAATGAAGGTGAAACACACACACACACACACACACACATGCACTCAGTCGCAGCCAAAACAATTGAATTACAGTGCTTGTGGCATGTTGTCTTACTCTGTGATATGTGTGAAATGGTTAATTAAAGGTGAGCTCATTATTCTTGCTCAGGATCCAGTAACTGTGTTAACATGATCCATGACTAATATATCACCCACTTATTGCACCCGAAGAATTTCATCAATTGCTCTGAACACCAATTCACACACAAG